AATAGTTTCATATGTGACAAAAAGGTTAAGGTGAAATAGTATCTTACCAAACAATAAAGTTATGTTTAAGGAAAAAATAATGATGCTTCTTTTAGTTAGCTTTTTGTTACCGTGACTAAAAGAACTGATAAGAACAACATTAAGAGGAGGAAACGTTTATTTTGTCTCATGGTTTCAGCAATCTCATTCCATAGACAGCCAATTCCTTTGTTCTGAGCTGAGGCAGAACATCATGGTGGAAGGGTAGTAGAGGAAAGTATCTCAGGACATGACAGCCAGGAAGCAGAGTGTGCTCTATTCACCAGAGACAAAATATAAACCCTAAAGACAAGCCCTAGTGGCCTACCTTCTCTAGCCACACCATACCTGCCTACAGTTATCACCCAGTTAATCCATATCAGTGGATTAATTCACTGGTTAAGTCTCTCATAATCTCTCATCATTTTATCTTTGAACCTTCTTGTATTGTCTTACACATGAGCTTTGGGGGAAACCTCATACCTAAAGTGTAATACTTCCTCAGTTTAAAATTTGTTTAAATTAATTAAAATTTAATAAAGTTAAAAGTTCAGTTTTTCATTCTGTTTAGTCACATTAAAAGTGCTCAGTATCCACATGTGGCTTGTATTGAATAGCAAGGTTCTAGATCTTTTTGTGAGTACATTTTTAGAAATATGTATCAACATTCTCTTTTATATAACATTCTCTACCTACAGAAGTAGTTAGCTTTATTGTTATTATTATTTTTAAATAAATGTTGGGGCAAGGGTACCATCTCTTTTACTTCTGAAGATGAGATATTTGTTTTTTGTTTTTGTACTGGGCATTAACCACTGAGCCACATCCCCAGCCCTTTTTTGGGGGAGAGGGTCTTGCTAAATTGCTTAGGACCTCATTAACTTGCTAAGGCTGGCTTTGAACTTGTGATCATTCTGCTTCAGCCTCCCAATACACTGGGATTACAAGCTTGCGCCACTGTGCCCAGCTGATATTTGGGTATGAGAAATAGACTTACCAGCAGAAAATATTGAGTATGACAATATTCTGGGTAGTAACAAAAAGGCATCCAAGTTTATTATGTACACGGCATAATCATAGGGAAATGAGTATTCTGTCATCTAGGAGATTTAGAAGTTTATATATCCTTCTTCATGGGGGAGAGAGAAATAGGCTATAGGTAATTTTAGAGGAACAGTAAATGATCCTTAGGGGAGGTAGTGGACCTGAAGAACAGACATGGCCTGGGACAAAGTTCATCTGCGTTCTAGATACGTTGTTTGACTTTCAGTTCTTCTGTGATAGGAGCTTAGTTTTCCTTGGTTGATGAAACTGGAAAGGATGGAAGACAATTGTATTTCTTTTGGTCCATGGATACATAGGGGAACTTCACAGAAAGAGGAAAAATGGGATGACAGATGAGGTAAGGCCAGTGAGACCTTGGTTGTGAGATTGCTTTTTGGGGTTCATTTTTGGAGCCCCAATATAAGCATAATGGGATTATGGTGTATATATATTTTTAACTTGCTCTTCATTTACCGTATTTTAAAGCTTGTTCTGTGTCAATATATAGAAATCTGCCTCTTTCATTTTATTTTGCCATAGCATGGATATACTCTGATTTTAACTAGTTTTTAACTATTGTGCTTTTAGATTGCTTCTAATACTGTTAAAGTGCTATCCCCAGATTTCCAAATAATTCACTGTGTCCTTTAAAGATAAAGACAGAAGCTTTATTTCTGGCCAGGGCAGAGTGTGCAGAGAACCAAGCAGTTCTGCAACCCTTGAGCCCAATTGGAGTAGGAATACACTTGTAAGGCCTAAAACCACAAAGAGGTGGGTGGGCAGGAGGAGCAATCATAATTACAAGGTAGAACTGGGTGTGGTGGTGCACCCCTATAATCCCAGCAGGTCAAGAGTTCAAAGCAATGGTGAGGTGCTTTGCAACTTAAGTGAGCCCTGCCTCTAAATAAAAAACAAAATAGGGCTGGGGATGTGGCTCAGTGGTTGAGTGCCCCTGAGTTCAATCCCCAGTACCAAATAATAATAATAATAATAATAATAATTACAAAAAAGATAATAGTGATAATAGTGATAATTACATTTCATACAAATGGAAAGTTACAAAAAAGAGTCATATACTAATATTTTCAGAAGTTACATTCTCAGAAAAACGATTTTGCTTTAGTCCCATAGAGCAAGGATATTGTGGGATCTGTGCAGGTGGGTGGGGGTGGAGGTGTTAGATTTTACAGGAGTAAGCTCATGTGGAAGGAGCGCCGACTTCATACAGGGTAAGATGTCTGAACAAAATGGGGTAAGTGTGGATTAATTTTTAAATCAACCGATAACAATACTCTGCAACTACGTAGCATACTTCATTACTCCTTGTGCGTATTTGAGTATTTTTCTAAGTTAAATTTTGAAAAGTACATTTACCACAGTTGTACAATGTTTTAGTCATGTAAAATGTTAAGATAGTTCTAGATCTTTACCTAGGGTGTCATTTTATACTCTTGTCAATAGGACTGAAGAGCACTCCCTTGTATCCTCATTCACTCTTTGTGTACATGTGTGTGTGTGTTTGTGTTTGTGGTACTGGAGATTGAATCTAGGGTCAGTCTACCACTGAGCTACATCTTTGGCCCTGTATATTTTTATTTTCTAATTATTATTATTTGGTACCAAGTATTGAACCCAGAGAGTGTAATGAGCTACATCGCCAAGCCCTCTTTATATTTTATGTTGAGACAGGGTCTTCCCAAGTTACTAGGGGCTCGCTAAGTGTGTATTTTTTATTTTGAGATGGGTACTTGCTAACTTGCCCAGTCTAACTTTGAACTTGTGATTTGTCTCGTCCTACTGAGTGCTGGGATACAGGATTGTGCCATCATACCCAGATACCCTCATCTTATCTTGACATTTCTAGTTTAAAATTTTTTTGCCTATCTGTGGTTGAAAAATCATTTTAGTATACATTTCCTGATAATTAGTGAGATTGAGCTCTTTTAAAATAATTTTTAACAGCATTTCATTTCTTAATACCATACCTGTATTTCTTCCAAAAATAAGAAAATATTATCTAAATAAAGTTATATCCTGTATTTTTTTTTATTTCTTTAGTTCTCCTTTAATGTTTTGAAATCTTAGAAAAAGCTAGAGTGACTTTGAATATAGGGCAGCTTTGTGGTTGTTGGAGTGGGTCAATTTTTTTTTTTTTTTTGATACCTGAGATTGAATGTAGGGGCGTTTAACCACTGAGCCACATCCCCAGCCCTTTTTTATATTTTATTTCAAGACAGGGTCTCACTGAGTTGCTTAGGGCCTCATTCAGTTGCTGAGTCTGGCTTTGAGCTTGTGCTTCTCCTGCCTCAGCCTCCCAAGCCGCTGGGATTACAGGGGTATACCGCTGTGCCCAGTGGATCAGTTTTTAATATGTATCATTTTCATTAAGATGGATTGAACATCCTTTGAAATGCTTCAAAATCTGAAATTTTTTGAGTGTTGGCATGACTCCTTCTAGTGGAAAATTGCATAGCTGCTCTTTTGTTGAAATGTAGGTGTACTGAAAATATTGTATAAAATTACCTTCAGGCTATATGTTTAAGATATATTGCCAATGACTTGGCTGGGCACAAGATCACGAGCGACCACACAGCTTTGTAGGTTCAAACAGCAATTCTTTATTCCTGAACTCACACCGGCCTCTACACACGTTCTGGGGAAATCCAAGTTCTGCCCGCACAATTCACGTCCCAAAAATACTTTCTCAATTCCAGGAGAACTCAACGGGAACTCAGGCAGCAGGAACGCCCTATTCCCAGCAGCAATAAACTTAAACCTGGAACTTCCCTAAAACCACATTGTCTTAAACTGGAACGCCCTAAACCCAAGGAGCGGGATACTTCCTCAAACCTGCAGGATACACCTTAAACCTGGATCCACCCTCGTCCTTGAGCAGGGTCACCTTTCTCAAACACACATGCAATGTCAGCGAATTTCCAAGGCAAGTCCATTTAACATGGGGTATGCTGGCAAGGAAATTTCGATGCGTCATTCCTACTTGGCAATGGCCCTCAGCAATATATATGAAACAAATGAATTTTGTGTGTAGACTTGAGTTCTATCCTTAAGATATCATATATATGCAAATATCCCCAAATCTGAAACCCTAATAACTTCTGATTTGAAGTATTTAAGATAAGGGATACTGGGGCTGGGGATGTGGCTCAAGCCATAGCTCGCTCGCCCGGCATGCGTGCGGCACGGGTTCAATCCTCAGCACCACATACAACACAAAAAAGATGGTGTGTCCGCTGAAAAAAACTAAAAAATAAATATTAAAAAACTCTCTCTCTCTCACTCACTCTCTCACTCTCTCTTTAAAAAAAAAAAGATAAGGGATACTCAACCTATATTTACTAAGCTATAAAACTACAAAAGGGCAAGGAAAAACTAGTAGTTACAGAATCACATTACCTGTAAGGCAAAAACCTGTCAGAAAACAGGTAGCATTTTATAGAGCACCTAGCAATCTTTAATTTTTCTTTTCCTGCCACATTGAAAACTTCTGGCTCATTTTCCAGTTCAAAGTGATAATAATTTTAATTTGCTTCTCTTCTCTCAAAAGAATGAAAGCAAGATAATTGAGAATTTATAACGTTTCTGTAAAACTACAGTTCCCTGTGCAGGAGTTGTTTATAGATTCACTTTGTTTTCTTTGGGCTTTGCACAGTGGTTGGAAGCATTTTTGTAAGTGTTTGGTAATTGGCTGAATTGAACCTTGTTCAAATAGATTATAATTAATTCCCTTATCAGGAGAAACATATATATCATGAGAAAATAGATTTGTTTTGTTTACATTATTATTTATCATGTTTTCAGACTAGGATTAAGCATGAAAACTCATGATCTTGCAAATGGCTAGATTAGGTGTTTCCTTTTATAGTCTATGTTTTGTGATTATAGCTAAATAAAAATTCTCTATTATAACAGCAAATGTGATTTTGTTGTGTGCATTCCTATGATGTGATTATGCTGTTTCTCACCATGAATGGTTATTTTTACACATAATAAAGCAGGCTAGTATATTCACATGCATTATAGCTAGAACAATCCATTGCTTTAAAAATGTAATTGTTACCTGGTTTTTATATTTAGTGTTCAACAAAAATTTATTTAGTGTTCAAAAAAAATATGCAGGAGCCAATGTAGACTGTAAAATGAGGGAGAAGCTTAGCTTTACTGTGGAGTCTGAGCTGGGTGTAACCTAACTAGCTAGAGGATATGCAATTCCTGATTGACAGCAGGACCAGCATTATGCAGATTTTGTAAGGGAGAACACTCAGCTCAGAAACAGTGATTAGAGCTCTGTTAGGAATCACTACATTCACCACTCATATCTTTTAGTTTTCGGTCTACTGAATTTGTAAACAAATGGAACAAAACCGTTTCTTTTTTGTTTTTATTAAAGTGATACTGCAGTGCAGTTTCAGTCTGACAGGCATACATGTGTGAAAATTTGATATTCTCACTAAATTAGTTAATTTTTAGCTGTGTTCATGCTTATCTTTAGACCTTTGTGCATTAAATTCTATCTGGAGCTGTTCTCTTTATACACAAGTGTGTTTTGCTTGTGCCTTCCTGTCTTCTTCAGTGAGAAGCTTTATGTAGGTCAGGCTTGGCTTAAGCAGATTTCCTGAACCTGCGTCAGCTTAAGCTGGAGGAATTTTAATAAACCCTCCCCTGTAGGCGTGGGCCTAAATGAGGCTAGCCTAGTTAAGCCTGATCTTTTTCTGTTTGTGAAAAGAGCTGAGCAGAGCTGAAGGCTGCATGGTGGTTTCAGAAACTGCCTACTTAATTTGAAAAGAACAATGGTAGGAAAGGCTAGATCTTCCAATTTTACTTTATCTGAAAAGCTTGATTTGCTAAAGCTTGTGAAGCCATATGTGAAAATTCTCGAAGAACACACTAATAAACATTCAGTCATAGTGGAAAAGAATAGATGTTGGGATATCATAGCAGTTAACTATAATGCAATTGGAGTAGATCGCCCTCCTCGAACAGCGCAGGGCCTACGCACCCTTTACAAAAGGCTCAAAGAATATGCCAAACAGGAGCTATTGCAGCAAAAAGAGGCCCAATCAGATTTTAAAAGCAATATTTCTGAGCCAACCAAGAAAGTTATGGAGATGATTCCCCAGATTTCCAGTTTTTGCCTGGTAAGAGACAGGAACCACATACAAAGGTAAGCTTTATTTTATTTTGTTGTGGAAAATTATGGCGCCTCCTATCTATTGGGCTTTGGCTTAGTTGTGATAGAGATATGCATAGTAAGCATCCCCACAAGGGGAGCAATGAATAGTGTCTTTGTTTTGCTTTCTTAAAAAAAAGAAAAGTGAGACTATAAGGAATTTTTCTGCTGCATTAGATTTAAGCCACTTTTTACTGTCTTCCCCTCCCCCCTTCCCTCTTACAGTTTCTAAAAGTGAAGGTTAGGGAGAAATAAATGGGATGAAATTTGTGACATCACTTCATAAACTTTTTAAGCTTCAAATTTAAATTATTTAATTTGCCTTTAAGAGCTGCCTTTTTCTTCTATTAAGATTACATTTCACTGGATTTTTCAATTTTATGTAAAATTTATATGAAGTAAGTAGTTTTAGGAGAAATGTAATCTTTGCTTTTTTATGATTTGTCACTGTCTACCACTTATTGAATGCACTGAACAGAACTAAAATCAACATTTAAGTAAACTTATTAATGATATGATTATATATTTGAAGACAGGATAAATTATTTTTCTAACACTTAAAATAAGATGAACACAACTAAAGGGAATTAATGTCTAATTAGAGATTCAGATTACTTAATGAAATTAAGTTTTTGTTTTTATTCATTCATGGTGTAGTTTCACTTTGATCTTGGATCATACAGGAAAGGGTAAGCTTTCTTATACTGCCTTGAAAGGATATCAAACTATGAATTTTATTATACCCATAATAGCAAATGAGTTCTTTTAGGGTTAGAAACAATTTTTGAGATAATTGTGCTCTAAGTAATGTTTTGCCTGGAAATATTCAAAACTATATTATCTTGCCACTAATTAAAATTTCAACCCTTGGCAAACAATAAAAATGGCAGTTACATTCTTCTGAACCTTTTAGGATAATTAAAGCAAACTGGAAACTCCTTGTTTAGTTGCAGAGTCTTTCAAACAAAGCTTTACACAATGTGCTTTCTTACTAATAGGAAAGGCATTATGTAAGCAAAATTATTGATTACCTGTGAAATCTCTTTTAAGTTAGAAGAACAGAAGAAAAAACTTTAACCAAGAGATTCTGTGATTTTTGTAATTTACCAGGAAAATATTTTTGAGCCTAGTTTCTTACTACATACTGCTTTTTTCTACTTGATAGAACTATTTTAAAAAATCACCAGTGGGAATTCAGGACATGGATGCACAGTGGATTAATTTCTTGGGGCCACTGGTTAAAATGTTCCCTCTGATGACAAATGATAAGGTCCTCCTAATATGCTGGATATCCAATAAAGTCTACAGTAAATTTGTTGTATGCTGTGCTATATACTCATAATTTCCACCTCCATCAACCCCAGAGAAAAAAAGGCTTTTGCTTTACAGGTGGAAAACTACCTTTTTTTGTATTAAATTTTCTATAATTAAAAAACTACACATAAAAACACTGCAGTTTTCATTAGTTGCATATTTTAAAAATACAGTGAATATAGAAGAGAAATAATATATAAATATGCAAGTATCTTTATAGTTTGCCCTCTTATGTGTGTATACATACATTATATAAATGTACATATAAACATTTAAAATGAATTGACTTATGCATTTCTATACTTTTTAAATAATAGTAATGTTTTTAAATTTTAAAGGGAAGAATATAAGAAATATACCACTTAAATTTTTACCTGTTAGTGTCTATATTGACATTTTTTCTTTATTAGCTTACTCACTTAATATATATTTAATATACTTATTTGATGTCATATTGAATCTTTATATCAGAAATTTATAATTATTCTATAATCTTAATTATGTTTCTACATAAATATTACTGTTAATCTCACCAAACTCTCCCTTTTTTACAAGGAAATATTAATGTTTATATTATTTAATTTATTTAAAAATATACAGCTGCTTAGTAAATCTGTTTCTACAATTTACTTTGAATTACGTCTTTATTTTTACCTCTCTCTAATGTCAGATTATGCTTTGTTTCTACAACCTCTTGATCCTTTAAGTCCTTTTATTGTTTTTGCTACTTTTCTTAAAACTTTCTTTCTTTTCCTTTTTTTTAAAGTTATGCTTGTATTGTTTCAACTAAAATGGAATGGAATATTCCAGATATAAGTATATTTTAATATAGTGGGAGAAATGTAATATTTATGTTTATACTGTTATACATACTAAACTGGAACAGTATTTATTTGAATTTTTAAAACTTAATTTTTATAATATATATTTTGTTGAATTGTTTAAATTTGTATCTTCTTAGACAAATATCTGATATTTCTGGCAACTTAATGTTATTAATAAGTAACTTATGGGAGTTTTTAATTTTTTTTCCTTATTTTCTATGTGAATGTATTCCAACATTTTAATCATCATCTAGGATATATTCCTAATAATGTTATTTATCATTTATAAAATGTTCCTTAAATAATATTAACATATTTCCATTAATGTTCCAATAATCTCTTTTCCCTTTTTATTTTCCCTTTTAAGTTAGGCAGAAGCATAATTAAAAAAAAAAAGCTCAAGAATATACATATACACACACACAAATATAGTCTTTGAAAATTGTTTTTTGTAGTTATAGATGGACAGAATGTCTTTATTTTATTTGCTTATTTATATGTGGTGCTAAGATTTAAAGCTAGTGCCTCACACATTCTAGCCACTGAGCCCTAGCCCCCCATATATATTCTTAATAGCTTCATGTTATACTTGAAATTATTTTTTTTTAAATAGGATTTAAAGTGCATTGTGTTCATAATGTCAAAAAAAAATATGCCAGAGTGTAAATTATGCTAAAAACTCTTAATTACCTCTACTAGGAATGTATACATTATGGGAATTGTTGTAAATTCAGCAAACCTTCAATGTGCCTATATAGGCCATTTAAGAATATTTCATATAAAAATCATTTTATTTGTTCATTTATTCATTCAACACATCTACTATATTCTAAGTAGTGCTATATTATGCTAGATCCTGGGTATGCTGTGATGGATAAAACCCCTTGCTCTTGTTAACTTTACCTTCCCATGATTGAAAGACTTAAAGAGCAGCTGAGTTATGTGGTTCAATATAGGTAAAGGGGTATACTCCAAAGCCATAGAGACCTTAGTTTTAGTTTTTTGGGTCAATGCAGAAATCAGTACCTCACATAAATGGGCTTCCACTGTCTTCTTAGAAGTCATGAACCTTGATTATTTTTATAACAATCCAAAGACAACAGAGCGGGAGATCTAAATAAGGTATGGGAAGAGGGAGGCACAGAATATATTAAATGACCCTTAACACTATTTAAAAACCTTGAGGTTATAGGGACAATTGGTATCTCTTTGAGAGCATTAAAAATGGCTTTTCTTTTTTATCTACTTTGTTTATACTATATAAGATTTGTACTTCTTTTTTAAAAGCCCAATTTTGAAGTTAATAAGGGAGGGCCAGGAATTTGGCTCAGTGGTAGAGCACTTGCTTAACATGCCAGAAGCCAGGGGTTTAATCCCCAGTACCATAAAACAAGACACACAAAAAGGGATAAGGATGGGGAGGATACCTATATGTATGTGTTATTGAAATCCTAATCTTAAGTCTCTTTGTTATGCCCAGGGTTAAACTTCTCTTGTTTCACAATTCTCATATTCATCCCCCCCCCTCCACTCTCTCTTTTTCTTTCCCTTTTTTTGTAGTAGTGATTGAACCCAGGATGCTCTGCCACCAAGCTACATCCCCAGCCCTTATTATTTATTTTGAGACAGGGTCTCACTAAGTTGCTGAGGCTGACCTTGCACTTGAATCAATCTTCTTGCCTCAGCTTCCCCAGTTACTGGAATTTCAGCATGCATCACCATACCTGGCTTTTTAGGCTTAATAATTAGGTATATATTAAATATGAAGCATGCTATAAATATGCTCATATCTTCATTTGGCTTATATTTTATAATACTTTTTTTGTGTGCTGTAGTGCGAACTTGGATGAACCTGCACAAGCCGGTACCAGTTCACTACAGGTAATGTTGGATCACCATCCTGTTGCTATTACAGTGGAGGTGAAGCAAGAAGAAGACATTAAACCACCTCCTCCACTGGTTTTAAATCCTCAACACAGCGATGTTTTAGAGCAAAGAGAAGAACATGAATTAGTACATGTTATGGAAAGATCTTTGTCACCATCACTTTCCTCTGTTGATATGAGAATGACATCATCTCCAACTTCTACTCCAAGGAGAGATGATTTTTTTCGGCATGAAAGTGGAGAACATTTTAGGTCTCTATTAGGGTACGATCCTCAGATCCTGCAAATGTTGAAAGCAGAGCATCAGATAATTTTAGAAAATCAAAGAAATTTTGGATTATATGTTCAGGAGAAGAGGGATGGATTGAAAAGAAGGCAGCAGCTAGAGGAAGAGCTACTGAGAGCAAAAATTGAAGTGGAGAAGCTGAAAGCAATTCGCTTACGGCATGATCTACCTGATTATAATAATCTTTGAGGTCTTTTTAAGTTTTTCAATTTGATTATTTAAATTTTGTCCAAAATTACTTTGGGAATATTCTGAAGCAAATAGATGTATGGAAAATGTTGTTAATATCTATTATGGAAAAACTTTGACATGATTTTCTTTTTTTGCGGGGGGGGGCATGGTTTCCTAATTATTTGACTTTCTTTTTGGATATCAAAACTTACTGATGTGTTGATTGGTAATATTTTTCCTCCAATTTATTTTTAGTTATTGCCCTTATAGATGGCCTTTTATTTTAATCATTAAAATATATACAAATATGTATATATAAACATATTCTCTCAAAGTTCTGTCTTCAGCACTTTGGGTTAGAAGTTTGAAACATATAGTTAAAGGTTTTAAAGTCAGTCCAATTTAGAAACTATACTGACTCAATAACAAGAAGCTTTTCTCTGTGGCTGCAGATGCAGCTTGGTGGTAGAGCACTTACTTTGAGATGTACAAAGCCCTGGGTTTGATCCCAGTACCACAATCACCACCACCACCACAAAAAAACCTTATCTGTATGACACTGTAGTTTTTTTTTTTTAACTAGAGGTTTATTTATAGTTATACACAGTAGTTGGATTAATCCTGACACACTCTTACATGCATGGAAATTGTTTTCAGTTCATGATTCTCCCCGTTTTCTTTCCCATCTTCTTCCCCTCTCCCATTCTTCTTCCTCTACTAGATTTCCTTTTGCTCATGTATTAATTCATATTTGATTGGCTCTTTATATTCTATCCTCCCCTCCCACTTTCCTTTGTTTTATTTTAGCTTCTGCATATGAAAGAAAATGTTTGTTGAATTTCTGAGTTTGGCTAATTTCACATAGCATGATATTCTCCATTTCCATCCATTTACTGGCAAATGCCATAATTTCATTATGACACTATTTTTTATGTTTTCATCTTTTGAAGGAGTAAGTCTTAGATTTTAGAGATGGAAAACATTTGGAAAATACTTTTTTCCTCCTCTTTAATTTAGAGGTAATGAAATAGGTCCCAGGTCCAAGGAGAACTCAGTGACTTACTGCGGTAACAAAGCTTCAGCAGTGCAAGGACCAGTATTCATTTTTCTTTTCTCCTCCCCTCCTCCCAATTTATTCTATACAAGTAAAAATCTGCTAAAATATCCTCCAGATTTCTAGATTTAAAATTTTGAAGAATTTATTTAATTAAAGCTACTTTTAAGACTTGGAATGTAGTTTAGTGGTAGAGTGTTTGACTAGCATGCATGAGGCCCTAGGTTCAATCTGCAAGACCACAAACAACAGCAGCAACAAAAGATTACGGTTAACAATTGTTAGGTTAAAACCAAGGGAATCATAACCCTTTCTCTTTTTTGTTCTATAAATTGAGATCTGATATCATACTGAAGTTGTATTTTGACTGTGTGATTGAAAGTTCTTTCCTATTTCATTTTCCTGAAATAGGTTTCTTTAAAAGTAAAAATCAGTGAAAAATGAAAATTTTACTTTGAAAATAGCAAAATATCTTATGTTTATAATTTAATGAGATAGCCTTGTTTCAGGTAAACATTGCTATTTTAGTATTTGTGGAAATAAAACCTTGATTTTTTAAAGAACACATTAAACTTTTGTTAAATTTTTAATATGTGTTTTACTTAAGAATATCTATTTGGCTGGGATTTTGTTGAGAAAGAATTTTAAATCAAGCTTGAGAATGGGCAACTAGAATTTCAGCAATACAGGGAGAAAGGGTGTTTGAAGTCAGAGTGAGCTCTCGAAAAAAGGAATGGAGAGTGGGAAAAAAATGATCAGGATGTGCAAGCAAAAATGCAATGCTAAGCCAGGTGCTTTAAAGTGAAATTACAGAGACCCAATTCAGACTCTGGTAACCTAGACTAGGACACCTCTTTGGAGCTTCTGTTTAACTTGAGTAGAATTTTACTTGCAGGAGTAAACCAGAAACCTGCAGTATACATAATATTTTTCAATTTTAAAATATTCACAAATAATTCAAAATGTCTTTCAGATACCATGTAGACATGTGAGTGGGCTTCATTCAGCCATGGGGCTTCCAGTTTGTGACTTTTTGGAGTAGAGCTATCATTCTCCAAGTGTAGTGCTTTGTAACATCAGCATCACTTGAGAACTTATTAGAAATTCCATTTGAATCAGAAATTTTTGAGGATGGCGTCCTGCAGTCTTTTGTAATAGGCCCTCTTATGGATTCTAATGCTGGTTAAAATTTGAGTCAATGAGATAAGTTTTATGTATTTTTAAAAACAGTATTGGGGGTTAAATCCAGTAATTTTTTCAGAGTTAGTCTTGTTTGATTTTGATTTGCAAAAGTTTAAATGTATTTTAAAGACATGTTTAAATATCTGAGCTACATCTCTAACCCCCGCCCCCTTTTTTTTTGAGATAGGATCTCACTAAATAGCCTAAGGCTAGCCTGGAACTCTCAATTCTCCTGTCTTCAGCTTCCTGAGTTGAGGTGCCTCACTGCACCTGGCTTGAAATAAGAGTATTTTACAGCCTAACTTGGTGCCTAAATCATGTTAGACTCTCAAAAAAAAGTTTTGTGGAAAAGCAGAATGGGTTGAAGTAAGCAAAGGGATATCAATTTGGATGTTGGTTGGTGCCAGATAATGGATTAAATAAAATGCTATTTTAAGGAGTCAGACTTAACTGAATATACAATGGGAAGCCACTGCAAATGTTTGATTAGGGGGACAATATACTAGAGCTGTAATTTAGGAAGAGAGTATAGTAGCATTTAGTAGTAGGCATTGTAGTGAGAGAAAACTTAATTGGAAATTTAGGTTGTGGCTATAGAAACAAAAAATAAACTCTTGTGGGTACTATTTTAGCTTATTGATTACTTAATTTCATTAGATGAATTAAAAAACTTTTTATACCTTGTATTAGAGTTAAGCTTTTTATTATAGAAATGTCTTGGGTATAAATCATATTCATTTGACAATTTTATCTTCTCTATTTCATCTGTGCTATGACTTTCCTTTGAGTGTCACGAGTCCTCTAATTTGAGGTAGTATTTTTATAATTCTAGTAAATACTTCTTTAGACAGTTTTACTTTTTGAAATTACAATGCAAATTATTTATATGATATTTAATCACATATTCAGCATGCTATCACTTGAAATTGATGAGTGTTAAAGTATTGACTTCATACAACAAAATCAATTTAACAAAATGTGTTTTGTGGAATGTTAATTCTCTGAGATGTTCCTAGAATATTTTTCTGTTCAAAAAGTACAACATACCTCTTTTGGTAGTTTGGTTCTAAAGTCATTGTACAAGGTAAAAAAAAAATCATGTATATACAAAATGGTATGTAATTATATTGCCTTTGAAAATTCCTTTATTGCCCATCAAATGGCATAATCTGGTAATTGTATTTTTCTCCAGAATTATACAAAACTTGGTTGTTTCAAGGGACACAATTCATTAGCATTTAGGGCTGTGCAGATTAAGAAACTTTATTTTTATGTATTTTTAAATATCAGAATTACATTCATTGGAGTAAGTATACTAAAGTAATTTTTTCTGAGTCAATCTTGTTTGATTTTGATTTGCAAAAGTTTAAATGTATGTAATTTTCCATTTTCTAACCACTTCCTCCATACACACCATGATTACCATAGTGTAGTTTATAAGAATTTCTGAATAAAGAAAATTGCTCGTTTCACCACAGAACATTTTTTTGGAGGTTGTTTATTATCTTTTAAAGTATCTTAGGGAAATTATGAGTTAACCATTTTTTTTTTGATATTGAGATATTTTGAGTTTGGGGACTATTTACCAACTTCCATTAGCAGTTTTTTTTTTTGAGGACAGTATCACTAATGGGAGGAAGAAATTCTGCTAGTACCAGTGGTGTATACATGGAACCTTCCAGACATCCTACGTATGGAATTTTATCTATAACATATAGTACTGGGAAAATATAGAGAAGAGTGAATTTATTTTGATTTTAGATTTGATTCTGTAGAAGTATTTTAAATTTGAAAATTAAATTGAAAGTTTATTTCATTCAATGTATTAATCTAGGTAGTGGATAGGTTATTTTTGCCAGCTTTCTGTCTTCCTTTTTATCCATATGAGCTTAAATGGATATGTTGTCATTATTATAACTTATGATTTTCTAAACTAGATATGATTTATAATAAGAAAAAGCTTAATTTTATAAGAAAAGCTTAATTTTCTCATTTCTAATAAATGCCAGGTTTCTTGAAATATTAAAATTTTTCATTTTGTGTAATGAAACAACTTGGTATTTCACTTTTGAAAGAGTTGATCTTCCCTTTTCCATCTTTTTGTGATAATGTTTAAAATATGAATATTTTCCATGTGCCTTCTTTTAGAATAATCTGGTAATTGTATTTTTCTCCAGAATTGTCCAAACTTGGTTTCAAGTGACACAATTCCTTAGCATTTAGGGCTGTGCAGATTAAGAAACTTTATTTTTGTGTATTTTTAAATACCAGAATTACATTCATTGTAATAAGTATACTAAAGTAATTTTTTTCTGAGTCAGTCTTGGTTGATTTTGATTTGCAAAAGTTTAAGTGTATTTTAAAGACATGTTTAAATATCTTAGAGTGCAATAAATTATATTTAATATATACCACTGATGATGGTGGTTAAGCAAATGATTTATTAATACATATTCTTTTAATTACAATTAATACATTATATTGATTTGTATTTTTTTATTACCGCCCCCCCAAAAGAATTCAATACAATAGAGTTGAAATTTTTTGATGAGGTATAATTGAAATAAATTTATTTAGATGATTATATAATACCAAATGTACCTATCTAAATATTATATTTTTTCAAATATTAAGACCCACAAATTCTCAAAATCAAAATTTGATAGTGAAGGTTGTGGTTGTAGCTCAGTGGTAGCAGTTGCCTAGCAAGAGTGAGGCACTGCTTTTATTCCTCAGCACCACATAAACAAAAATAAAAAATAAAGATTAAAATCTTTGGGGCTGGGGATGTGGCTCAAGCGGTAGCGCGCTCGCCTAGCATGCGTGCGGCCCGGGTTCGATCCTCAGCAGCACCACATACCAACAAAGA